CCTCTTTAATCGTGCAATAATAGATACCTATTTTAACTACAGATTCCTCCTCGTTAAGGTGGCTCACACCCTCTGCGCGCGCATCGTTTGAAAAGTGTAGATTTTCAGTAAATTTTTCGGTAGCGATGATTTTTGTGCGATCAATCGTTGTAGGAAACGTCTTCTCGCTTTTCTGCAATTCTGGCGACCTAGCTAGAACCTGCTGCTAGTGTCCCTCTTCACTCGTTCTTTCTATGAAAGGGGAAGGCAGCATTCGCAGAAGATTTTCCAAGAATGCAATGTCGACTGGTGCTCGTAATAAGAAGGGAGAAATCAAAGTCCGCTCTTGAATCACGCCTGAGTCTTAGAAAATTATTTCAGACTGATGATACGCTTGTGTAGATTTCCTGCCAGTGCCACTGACATCTCGCGACCTTCAAATATAACTTGCTCGATCATCTCCCGCACTGACTGGTAAATTCGTCGGGTAGCTGTGGATGGATCGATTCAGGGAGGTCGAAGGTAAATACATCGAAGCCCTTCAAACACGTTTCAAGACGCACTTCAAATTTTGTAATTGTGTCTTGAAAATTGTTTACAGCAATTCGTACTTCAATACGCTGTTGAATTGTATCCTCTGCTTGGGAGTCTCGACTGTTTTATTGCTGCATGGCTTTCCTCAACACCGTTCACTGTACATGCATCGCGGAACGCAGATTGGATGGCACTGATTGGAGGTGAATTTGATAATTTGTGACTGTGTCATCAACCAATTGAGGACATCAAATATCAAGAGGGACGTTCCGAAAATCACAAACGCTGCGAAATAGGTATGAAATAGTCTTACACACTGGTGGGTATTCCACATTCATTGTGTCATATCTTTAGACTGTTCGAAAGTTTGTCGTGCCGTGCAACTTTCACAGACTAATCCGATAATTGGCATGTGGCCCTATCGGCACACACTCATGCGTATGCCGCTGAGTCTATCTATATGTGCACGCACATGTGTGTATGCTTACACAATTTTATTACGTGTGCAAAACTAGGCAATCTACATGTACATATATATATATATGTGTGTGTGTGTGCACTCACTCCTATGACATAGAACGACAGTGCAGGCTATGTAGAGTCGCACGAATGTGTGTTACCCGGGTGTGTATATGCATGCGCACTCGCGCGGGCGTTTTGTGTGCGCGCCTGGCATGGCATAACGCCGTTCAATATGACTAGTGTTGAACCGTGGTAATTTGCCCCACCCCTTCTTTTTTCTATTGGCGTTGGATATGCAACTAATGACATAAACTCGGTTGTTGAAAACGAGTGCCATGCACCACAATGGATTGGCAATAATATAATACAAGTAGCGCTGTAAAAGCGCTGGTAATACTCATGTTGCAGCCATGGCAGTTGTGATTAGCTTTCCAAGTCAAGCCTGCTGCAGAAATTATTGCACTCTGACCAGCTGGAGTGGCCCAGGACTGCAGGTTGTGGAGAACAGGAGCGATGCTTGTATATACGCTTGTATTTACATGATGGACTTCGAAGTAACGATAGGTGTATTACTTGTATGTTCTTCTGCCTGTGCACGTGTACATGTGCTGGTCAGTGTGGAACCGCCATCCATATCAGATCATACAGCTCAGCTGCTATCAGTCTCAACAGCTTATATCTGGCAAATAGGGTTTTAGTGACTCAATTTTGCTTACTGTGTTCAACAGAGTGGCATTGCACACAGCTACTTTATGTAATAGTAGCATCTTGGAAATTTTATATTTTTGGTAGTTAGCTTCAGTAGAAACTTCTCCAGTGTGGCTCTTAGCTTCATTACCATGGAGACAAAGCATTCAAGTAATGCACGAAGAACAGTGGCTAGATGCGAAATGAAAAGCCATTGGACCGTACCCAATGGAATACGCATTTAGTATAGCAGTATTGCTTGCTATGTTGGCAGCAAACACTTTATAATAATAATTGCATTACCAGTAGAAAGTGCCCAATGTGCATTGCTTCAGCACTGTGTTTTGGACAAAGCAGTCAAAAAATTCCACATCAGTATTGGCTTCATGTTGGAGAAAGTTGTGAAAAACACTAGAGCATACATGTACACTCAATACACATGCTCAGCTACATGTATGGCATTTAGTATGTGGGCGACTTCAAAGTTCTATTTTGGTAGTTAGCTTCGGTAGAAACTGTCTAAACTTGATCCAAAGCTCTACTACTATGTTCTGAAGATGTTGCAATCAAGTAATGTAAGACACGTATCTGCCGCATTGGAGCTAGTTGTGAAAACCTTTAGACCATACACACAATGCACATGCTCAGCTATGGCATTTAGTATGCGGGCGACTTCAAAGTTCTATTTCGGTAGTTAGCTTCGGTGGAAACTGCTAAAACTTGATCCAAAGCTCTAATACTATGTTCTGAAGATGTTGCAATCAAGTAATGTAAGACACGTATCTGCCGCATTGGAGCTAGTTGTGAAAACCTTTAGACCATACACACAATGCACATGCTCAGCTATGGCATTTAGTATGTGGGCGACTTCAAAGTTCTATTTCGGTAGTTAGCTTCGGTGGAAACTGCTAAAACTTGATCCAAAGCTCTACTACTATGTTCGGAAGATGTTGCAATCAAGTAATGTAAGACACGTATCTGCCGCATTGGAGCTAGTTGTGAAAACCTTTAGACCATACACTCAATGCACATGCTCAGCTATTGCATTTAGTATGTGGGCGACTTCAAAGTTTTATTTTGGTAGTTAGCTTCGGTGGAAACTGCTAAAACTTGATCCAAAGCTCTACTACTATGTTTGGAAGATGTTGCAATCAATTATTGCAAGATACGTATCTGTCATATGGTGGAGTCAGGGGTTCTAAGGCGTTGGACAATGTCCCAGTGCAATGTGCTGATTCTTGAAAATATGGCATCACTTGACACTTCAAAGTTTTATTTCAAGAGTTACCTTCGGTAGAACCTGCTCAAACTTGCTACACAGTACCATTATTAGGTTATGATAGCATAACCATCGAATACAGAGCAAGTCCAGTGTCAAATACTTGTGGGCGGGGCTAATATGTGGGACGTGTGCGCTGAAATGGGATGATTCCGAAAAGAGAAAAAGGTCACCTTCTAGCAGAATTCTACCCACTTCTAAAGCTTATGCTGGTATTTAGCAAGTATACTACTGTCCTGATGTTGGACATCAAGAAAAATGGGGTAACTACGAGTGCTACGGCCAAAAAAGTGGTTTTCCGGTGTTTTTTGGCCTAAATTGGCAATTGTGAGTATGCTATGTTTGGCCCCTCCCCCGAGTGAAACCGGCCGGTAGAACTTGATAAAATTTTGTCTCCGTACACTAGATATCCTACGGAACAAAGTACAATCGTTTTTAGCCACGTTTCAAACAAAAAAATTTGGACCCGAGGGGTAGGAGCCACCTTAACTCGTTAGAGTTAGCACTTCGTTTTTACAGTAATCAGAGAAGCAGCAAGTGAGCGAAATCACTTTCCATGCGAATAGAAAATGTACAAAAAATATAGCATTCAAACAAGTAACAGTTTTCTTGCAACGCTTATCAGGAATAATCCTTGTACTAACTAAAGGACACTGAAGCAAAATTGAACTATTATATTATAGAAAACCTAAGGTAGTTTTCTAAAAGACATGTAGTTCAATTTTGTTTCAGTGTTCTTTAGGCTGTACTCACACTACTTGAAAAACCGCATACAAGTGACTTACGTGTGAATGTTGCCACGGTGACGGTTGCGAAAATGAAAAAAGCCCTTGAAAGCCGCTTGAAAGGTTTCAGCGGAAACGGAACCCTCTTCTACGAGGTTTTTTGCTTTCATGCCGTTTGGAAAGCTGTGTGATCGTGAGGTCAGGAGGCCGGCGTACTATTGTACGTTGAAAGGCTCCAGAATATTTTTCATGCTTTGTTTCCTCGTGCCTGGTCGTACTGCTCCTGTACATATACTTGTAGTTTCCTTTTTTTGCCTGTCATTTCTGAATTCTGTGGTGTTTTTCCGAGTATTTTCCGTCTTCTTTCTTCCAGTAGCTTCCCGTTGTTTTGATTGCCGTTTCTGTCGCATTTCTTTTGTACCATTGCTTTTGTACCGACATCATGCCTCGCGTAGTGTTTTCTGACGACTTGGAGAAGAAGCTCATCGAGCTGTGGAGAGAAACCTCTTCATCCGTCGACGTCGACGATGTGCCACTTCTTCGCGAGGCATGGCGAATGAACTCCACGATCCAAGCAAGATATAACTGTTTCTATTTTTCTCATGAACTGAAAATTTCAAATAGTTGATTGAGCGCAAAACAATTGAAGGAACGCAGCCTCGGGATTTGCAAAACTACCACATGACAATCATGTTTCTCCATGGTAATTTGCTGACAAAAATGTTTCAAGCCGTCACTGGAGTGCAGTGTGCTTGGAAAGGCTTTTTCAAGTACTTTTGTCTAGTTTTGAACGCGACATTTGCGTCAAACTTTCAAGTAGTGTGAGTACAGCCTTAGTACAACGACAAACGTTTTTTAATATAATTCACGATTCGCGAGGCATGCAACTCGGCTGGAGGACCAGTTTTCTCCACATCTGTAGGAATGCCACCAACCATTACGATTACGAACCATGTAAAATATACAAAATTAACATGATTGAAATATCCCACAGGTAGAGGCACTGGTCAATTAATGTTAGCCAGCTGGATCAGTCAGCCAAATGAACATTATGGCGAGATGGATTATCCACTGACAAATCTGCTACTCAGCTGCTACATGAATGCCCACGCTAAGCACTCACACACTTACATATACAGTAAAACCTGGTTTAAGCGACCACCCTGCGCTGCAAGCAAAAGCGGTCGTTAAAGCCGGGTGGTCTTTAGAACCAGGTCCCACAGTGTCTGTGTGTAGAACTATCCGTGCATGGAAAAGTGGTCGCTAAACCCAGAGGTCGCTTACACCAGGTTTGCTGTAATAGCTTTTACCCAATATCCACAGAGCCAAGTGGATCAAATTCAAAGACTTAGAACACAGCTGCAATTACAATATATATAATGCACCGGAAGGCCTTTGCCATTGTCTGCCTGTTTCTCTCAAAAGTTGAGAAAATACAGTCCGTAATGGACTTTTAGCGGGGTTTGCGTCTCAGCCACTCAAAAACGATGCATGATGCAGAGCTAGCTGTTGTAGCTGATGCAATATACATGTGAGTACATGTGAGTACATGTGAGTACATGTGAGTGAGGGTGTCTTTTCTACTAATTAGTAAGTACAAAGCGATCAAGTTTCAGAAATGGCATCCGGTGCAGATAATAAAGAAAATAATAGTAGTGACCCACCAGACAAATTTATAACCTCCCACGAACACACAAAGCTTGCAGTCCTCAAAGTATGCATTCATATGATTGTACTTCGAAGTATATGCAGTAAGCATGCTTTTGAGGTGTACTGGGTGGGTACATGGGTATTTGGGTACACGGGTATTTGAGTACACAGGTATTTGGGTACATGGGTATTTGGGTACATGGGTATTTTGTGAAACATGGGTATTTGGGTACACGGGTACTTGGGTACATGGGTATTTGGGTACATGGGTATTTGGGTACATGGGTATTTGGGTACATGGGTATTTGGGTACATAGGCATTCGGGTGCATGGGTTACCGGGTACACGGGTGATAATTGAGTCCATGGATAAAAGGGCATACATAAGATTGTCGTAGCAGGTTAGAAGCTACTCAATGCTAGATACAATTTTTACCTGACTAGTTGAGCTACATGTACAACCGTCCGCTACTCACCACGCACGTTTGTGCTTTCACATATTCCTGCAGGACAGCGGGGCGAGCAGTTCGTGCCTGCACAACACCTTCTCGTCGTTACCTCATTATTCCATGGGTACCTCGTCAGGCACTGTCGGAGGTGCTTTGTTATCTTCATCCTCCACTGGCTTGATGTCGATACCGGCAAACAGGTGACGTGTTCCGATGAACGGCTGCATTGAACACACACACGCACGAACACAGGCACACACACACACACACACACACACACACACACACACACACACACACACACACACATGAGAAGAAAAATGAGGTGCCGTGAACAAGGAACTCACATGTAATGTATTTGCATGCATTGGAACTACTTGATGCGACTTATTAAAATGTGCGCTTCGCTTCAAACGTCAACCAAACAAATTCAAATAATCTCAGGACGGAGTAAACTTTCCAGCTACCTAACACTGTCCTTTAGTTGTCGATTTGTGATGTTGAAGAAGAAATGGCTCCAACTCCAAAGGAGGCAGCGCCTCAGGACCCTAGTCGACTCGAGCATTTTGTGTCCAAATTTTGTCGTCAGAGGACTCCTGTTGCTTCTCACGCAACACAGAGAAGGCCTGGTGCTGAAATCAACACCCCAATGCGATGGGGAATTGTCACGGAGTACCATTAACTCCTGGGCTATCGTTCTCGAGTGCCTCCTGGCGGATTGAAACCGCTGCAGTCGCTGTTTCCTTAGCAGAATTTCAGCAAACGCGTCATCCAGAAACTCATGCAGAAAGCACCAGTATCGCTCCGTCCAGTTTGCTGATCTCTCTCGCAGTCGTTCACGATGTGGCGGACGACGAAACAAGATCACAGAAGAGATCGCCAAGAAGTGGATCGAACTAAATAACCGCCCCTGAGGTCGACTTTCAGGCGACAACCTGGCTGGAAAACTGAAGCTCAGAAAGGGTGAAGGATTCTGCGGATACGGTGCGTGAATGGTACGGAGTCCTCGGAGCCCCGATCACGATGCGTCATCGCTACATCAAGCTTATGCTAAAGCTCCGTCACAAGATTGCCAGTCTCAGGGGCCAGTGGATTCGTGAAACAGACAGGGAAGAGCACGCATGGTCTGACTGCATGACATGTCGACACAGATCAGACTCAGTATGCGCGCGGCACACGGTGATGAGAAGTGATTTTTTATGCGTGATGGTGTAGTGTATCCACTCCAGTGGTGTACTTGTTCGCTTCGTTTGAAGGCGTCGTGGGAGCGTCAGGCAAGAACAACTACAGCCACCAATCTGGCAGTCGTACTGCACGAGGGGGAGGCAAAGCCGATCATCCAAATATGGAGTGAAAAAATCAAAGAAGCGCAGCGTAGGTTGGAGGAGATGAAAAAATGTCGACGTTTTGCAGGGGACGCACTTGCAGATGCGCCCTGGGACACCAGCAGTGATGAAAACTAAAAGGTCAGGCCAAGAAACGACACAGTAGTTATCTATCTACCGTCTCTTGGTTGATTTTTTAGTACAGGTGCTCCTTTGTAGATATGCTTGAGTTTTCAAGTGAAGCGCATATTTTAATAAGTCGGACCAAGTAGTTGGCACCAATTTGGTTTCAGAGTGCATATTCCTTGACTACATCCCCCCTCCATATCCGCATGCACGCACGCACACACACACACACACACACACACCCACACGCACACACACACACACACACACGCCAACAAACACACACATGCCCACGCACCCCCACCCCCTCCCCCCCCCCCCCCCACACACACACAAGCAAGCTCACCTTGTCCAGCTCTTGCTTGAGAAGTTCAATGGCTGGCATCCACTCCTCACCGACAGCGTTCTCTGACAGAACCCTAATGATCTCACCGACCGTGTTGTCTGCGCTCCGATCACCCCACATATCAAAGACACGCTTCAGCGGATCGGTAGGAAACGTATCGCCGATGACGTCGACTTTCTTCTCCCGCACGCCCAGCAGCTTGGCAAGATCGGCCCAGGACTTTTCCGTGCCAGAGCTCGTTTTCGGCAGGGCGGCAAAGAGCGACATGCGCAGCTCGTCCGTCGCCAGGGAGACGTGATCGGACGGCACGCACAGCATGTCGAGTGGACGATCCACGCTGTACGTCACGTTGCAGCACAGCGCCGCGTTCGTCTTGGCCGCCACCTCCACCTCGGCGAGCGTGTAGAATGTGAACATCTCGACGGGCGTGGGCGGCCGGTCAACCGAGTACTGCTGCTGTACGTGATCAATGATATTACGCGAGCTGATCACCAATTCCTCCAATGATAAGCTGGGCGAAAAGCGCGTGTGAAGCTCCAGAACACGCTGTCGTGTCAGGTGCAGCAGCGCGTACATGTGCCGGAGGTCGTTGGTGCGACTCCGCACCACCACGTCGATAAAGTCGAGCCTGGTCGCCGTGGATACGCTGATCTCGGCGCGCTCGCCCGGCGCCCAGCCGGTCACGCCGTCCCGCCAGACGAGCAGCTCCTTGGCGTAGCGCAGTCGCAGGTCGGCAAACACGCTCGTGAGCAGTGCGTTGACAAACGCCTGGCCGAATGCCGGCCGCCCGACGAGCTTGAACCGTCGACCTGCGAAGTTGACGTACTTCGCGTCGCGGGGCCAGCGTCCGAGGCGATAGTTGACCGGTGCCGACGGACGCCTGCAACTCATGATGAAGAGCTTGTCACGGACCGCACCAGCTCCAGTCATATGCTTGACGATAGCCGCCAGTTGATCATCCGTGAGCTCGTCTCTCAAGCTTTCAAACGCCTGCAGCATGCTGTCCGTGTGTATTGCCGAGTAGCTGGTGCTGGCCATGTGAGTATTGTCAGGCTTCGGGTCCTCGCCAAACTTTCTCTGCGGCAGTTCGACCTCGACCACGCGTGTGATCTTCCTCTCGAAGCAGTTCTCGTCGCGCAGTCGTGCCAGGCGTGAGATCACGGACGTCCACAGCTCCGTCGGCTGCAGAACGACCAAGTCGGCGTTGCGGATATACTCAACCTGGGAGGACATTAAAACGCAGGAGAACAGAGAGAGAGAGAGAGAAAGAGAGAGAGAGAGAGAGAGAGAGAGAGAGAGTGAGAGAGAGAGAGAGAGAGAGAGAGAGAGAGAAAGAGAGAGAGAGAGAGAGAGAGAGAGAGAGAGAGAGAGAGAGAGAGAGAGAGAGAGAGAGAGAGAGAGAGAGAGAGGGAGAGAGAGAGAGAGAGAGAGAGAGAGAGAGAGAGAGAGAGAGAGAGAGAGAGAGAAAGAAAGAAAGATGGAGAGATAGATAGATAGATAGATAGATAGAGAGAGAGACAGACAGACAGACAATACGTTTAACGCATAACATTTACACATCGGATACGGAGAACCGAGTATCCGATTCATTGCACCAGGAAGGGAAGCGATGTACCATGTGCCCCGTGGTTCATAGCTCTGTTAACTTAATATGGCCTTCGACAAGGTGAATCATCAAGCGGGAGCACAGACAGAGCACAGTGACAAATAAAGTGTAGACTTCATTTCCATGTGTTTGCAAGCTCGTAAATTAAAGAGAACCAAGTGCAATCAACCTTGCGAACAAGGAACTTTGATCGTGATTGAGAAAAGTGCCGTTATTATTCACGAGTTGTCGTTCTGCCTGAGGTTAAATGTGTCTGGAGCTAGCATGAAACTCGCTGCAATGACAGAAACAACAATATACCTACAAGCAGCAGAGCCTGATGGCAACAGAAAGAAAACTGGGCGGCACCATTTTGGCAACATGGCGCATATAGCTAGCCACACCCTCCCCCCCCCCCCCCCAACACACATGCGCACACACGCGCGTGCGTGCAAAGCTCACCTCCCGGTGAGCATGCAGCGCTTCAAGCATGCTCATGGCACTACTCGGCGTCGTGGCATTGTCATCGGCGGTATCCATGGATACGGAGATGCCTGCCTGCTGAAGGCAAGTGTCCAGGATGGAGGCGAACTCTGCCGTGCTGACAACCCGACGACCAGCTTTGTTCCTGACTGCTGGCATAGCGGACACTGCTGCACACACCTGTGTATCCATTGGTGTACAATCCTGCATCTCACACATAGAAACAAACACAGCCAGATAACACACACACACACACACACACACACACACAATTTGTCTGCAGAAACACGTGCGCAGGTGGGTGTGCGTTGAAACAGGTGCATGCATGCGTGCTCCCTTGCAAACGCACACATGAACACACACATGAACACACACATAAATATACGCACACACACACACACACGAGCACACACATACACACCCACCCCTACACCCATACACACACACACACACACACACACACACACACATACCCCCCACCCCACACACACATACACATACACCCCACACACACACACACACTCACAGCCATTGTCTGTGTACAGCATGAGATCACGGACTGACGCAGGCGTGCGAGCTCTGGCTTCAGCGCCATTCTTGCGTCCACAAAGTACGCCTTGTCATGGATGCACAGATACTGTGCAAAGCGCTCACGCACGCCAAACAGCACCGCGTTTGGCCGAAACTTGTCCGTCATTTTCATAGAGTCCAGATGTGTGTACGCCACGAGAACCTGAAGTCGGGGAGCATTCTCTGCAAGAATGATCAAGATTTCATATAGGCACAACACATAGACACGCACGCACACACATACACACACGCTCGTGCACACGTTCATGCATGCACGCACACACACACACACACACACACACACACACACACACACGTACGCACGCACTAAAGTACATCTCATCAACGGTCATGTGACCCTATAAGCCCAGCAGTCAAGTCCCAAATCCATGTGCTTCTGAAATTTATAGTAATGCTTCATCCACCTCTTCCACTCGTCTAAATCGACCTTGTCCACTCGGGGATGCCTTTACAACACACGGCAGGGTCGGTGTGAGACCCTGTCCAATTGAGTTATCCACGTCCACAGGAATGCCACTACCCTCTCGTTGTCAAGGCGCACATGCAGCTCCTAAAGCGGTGGGAGGTGGGTACTCCAATTTCAGAAATTTCGGTGCTCAATATGTTCGGTATAAGGCCAACAGGCTAGGTTAGGTGATCAGAAATTTTCGATACAGAGAAGCAGTTCCCTATTGGATTATGTGTGTTAGTGTTTGTTCGGTGTATTGAAATTTTAGGTATGAAACAGACGCACCGAAAGTACCGAAAATAGAGTACACCGAAAATTTGTGAAATTACAGTACATGAGACCCATCAGCAAAGTGGTCAAAGACCGAACATCCCATAGATTCATTGGGTCCACGGAGTTTGAACCAAAATGGCCGACCTCATGTGACCCACCCATTAATGCAGAAATTGAGTGGAGATTGAGCGGAGATTGAGTGGAGATTGAGCGGAGATTGAGTGGAGCTTGAGCCAATATGGTCATGTGATAGATATGAAACATCCCCTAGTCCTTCTCTCACCTGTGTCTTGCAGAACTGCCGAGTACTCCTGGCACACAACAGCCAGCTGGTCCTCCAGCTCGGAGCCCTGTGATAGAGCACTGACAACGATGAGGACGACAACAGGAGAAGCAGCTCTGCCGGTCCCGTTGTCGGCGTCGCGCAGCACCACCGGATGACTGTGGAAGAACTGCGCGTGTATTCCGTCGAAGTGCTCGCGCTGCCCGAAGTCCACATAACGAACGTCGACGTCCAGTGCGGGGTCCGGGTGCGAGGACGTCATCAAGCCGTCCAGCCCGTCGCCGGAACAGCCGGTGTTGAGGTGACATGGAGTGGAGTACGTATGTGGCGCCTGGAGATAAAAGAAGAAGACAGAAGAAAACGAGGGACTTCCATTCCAGGCCAGCTAAATCACTCCACCGTAAAAAAGGAAAACGAAAAAAGTATAAATTGAACTCGGATGGTGAGTCAATGTGATCATGGATAATCACTGAAAATGATCTGGTTACGTTGGTGGACAGTTAGGCATAACTCGTGCCATTTTGTCCTTCTCATTTTTATCCAAAAAGGAAACGATCAAGAAAACCCCTTTTTGCACGCTCAATAAATACACGGTGATAAAACAAAACGACTAACAACTGATGGTAGGCTCACCTTCAAGCTCTCGATCAGGGTGGATACGCCGGCATTCGACACGCCGTGGACATGCACAAACACAGTGCTTCCGGGTTTCAGCTCGGGAACCGTAATCTGCCGCGTTTCAACTTCCTGTAAACACAGTCATAGGAGCAGGGCAAGAGCGGAGCAAAGAACTCCCTTGCACAAAACACTATCTAGCACAGGGGCGTCGGAGGGTAATTTAGTGAGGTACGGTCAGCCATCTGAAGTACAATTTACTCGTGGGGAAGGGGTGGCTGAGCCGAAAATATTGGAAATTTAGAGCCCAAATCAGTGCTTTTTTTTTTTTTCACCGGGTACCTGGGGTAAAAAGTGGTACGGTCAATACCGTAGTGACCGTAGCGTGTCCGACGCCTCTGTAGCATCTGAATTTTTTTGGCAGATGATGATGATGATGATGATACCATCAGAACAAAGAGGTCCCCAAGCAAGAAGCAAGTGCAGTGTTGAGCTTGAATGAGTGAAAGGATATCCAAAAGCCTCGCTGGACATGGATTATACAGACCCAAGTGAAATCCTTCATGTAGAGGTGTTTCAAGTGAAACATATTTTTTTGGGGGAGGGGGTTAGATTTGAATGTACATGTAGGTGCAAACTCTCGGGGTGCATTTAATAACGAGTAAAAATTTCATTGGAGTTATACTCAGTTAGACTAAGCATTGCGCATCTGTAGGAACGCACTACCCTTCATGGATCAAAGTCATGATAAGCTCAACGTAAAAATGACAATACCTTCAAATAAGCCGCAAGTTTAGTGTGCTGGCAGGAGGTTGCGATCATTGCTGGGGTGTTGCCATTCTAGATGGTGTCAGGGCAGAACAGCAGAACAAACGGCTGCATCTGTGTCACCAGTTTGTGTGTGAGTGTGCATGCGTGACCCACACTCACATGCACACACACACACACACACACACACACACACACACACACACACACACACACACACACACACACACACACACATGCGTGCATGCACGCACGCACGCACACACACACACACCCTCCACACACACATGCACCACACACTGACACTCCCAACACAAGCACCATACACACAACATCACAACACCAAAGACGAGGAAGATAGCCACTCACCGAATCCGTCTCAAAGGCACGGGCACCGTAAGAGACAAGAAGCTCGATTGTCTCCATATTCGGTTCCTTGACGGCGGCAGCTACATGAAGGCAATTATCTCCATTCTGGAACAACATGAAGAAGGAATATGGCATGGAAGTTTTGCAAGTGGAGCAAGGTGAGAGTCTGACAGTGAGTATAGTTGAAGGCTATATATCATGGCATACAAGTACTGCTGTTGAAAAGACGTGCAACAACAGACTTTGTAGGTAAAATGCTGGAAATAGAGATAGCCAGACGAAAAGGCACACAGTTACACAGACAACGGACGGATGGACCGACTAACATATGGACAGACAGACACACACACACACACACACACACACACACACACGTGGAAAGACAGGCAGGCACGCATGTAGGCAGGCACACAGGGAAGCAGGCAGGCAGACAAACAGACATGAAGACTATGGATGGACAGATGGAGTAACTGATGAACAGGTACACATGTGGAAAGACAGGCAGGCAGGCAGGCATGTAGGCAGGTAGGCAGGCAATCATACATACTGGACGAGCAGCAGCAGCAGCATCAACACCACACTCTAACCTGTTTGACATGCACAATAGCGCCGTGTGTGAGCAGGAACTCCACCGCATCGTGCTTGTTCATCCGGATAGCCATGTGCAGTAGCAAGTCACCAGTCTAATAATATGGACATGTACGAGAGTGCCACAAGGAACCACAGAAGAAAAGCACATCATGTACTGACAAGAAAATCCTTGCACCCAGTGGACCTTACAGAATGATACATCAAGTTGCCAAGGCATGATACATCTGGCTCTGTCCCAAGAAAAAGCATAGTTACGCATATTACCACACACCAAATACGTGTCAACCAGAAGCCTGAGCGGAAAGAAGAACAAAATTCACTCCCTCGCCTTCGTTCCACCAGGAAATTCAATCCAGAGTATAATTGCTCAATCTGCGGACAGAACTGTTTCATCCTTTGTGGACTCATCAGTGCTGCACAGGGAAAATGAGGCCGAACGTGATAGGAATTAAGAATAAATTTTCCAAAGCCAGATTTAACTAGGCCCGAACGTACCTTGCCAGAGTGCTTAAACTGACAAATCAGTGAGCTCTGCATAATGCAAACAGCAAAGGCACTACCCCAAGCAAGAGTGCTCAACTGCTACAAGATTATAATGGTTATGCCCCCCCCCCCCCACACACACTCTGCATTTGGACATACATGTACGAGTTATACATTGCTAGCATATTTTCCAGAATGTCATGGTTTCAAATCAGAGTGTGTGTGTGGGGGGGGGGGGGGGGGGTGCGCCTCACTTCCCTCCCCTCTGGCTGGAACCCTGGATGGTGCCAGAGGGTGCCAGCCAATCGAGTGCTTGAAATTGAATAGAAGCCACGCTTGACATTCAAAACATCAGGTTATCATTTCCACGCTCCCTTACCTCAGGCACTTTGTTGACATTCACACCGCTGGTGAGGAGACACTTGACGGAGGCCAGTTCGTTGATCTTCAGACAGTACTGCAACACATTCAGCGGCGGCTGCAGAGCAAAACAAAGCAGCAGAGTGTCACACACACAAGGAATGGAAGCCCTCTTACATGCGATAGTCGAGGGAGTTAAAAAGGAAAAAGTCTGAAGAAAAAAATTGAAAAGTAACCACAAGAACTTGAACCAGGGACCTTCATTTACGGCCAGCGATGCTCTAAGCAATAAGCTATGGTGTAGCTGTCATCTCAGCAGAGACCGCTCGACATTTTTCTGCAGACTGTGACTCATACGCCTAGCACTTTTTCGACGGTGGTTCCAATTTCTTCAAGAAGGATGACTTAAAGTGGAATCGTCAAAATCAGTGTTTTTTGATGATTGGTTTAATGATGGTTAGACCCCGGATGTAAGTCGACTACAGCCAACTTCGCTAATGACGACTGCGGATAGAAATTTTCAGACATACATGTATTCCCAGTAAGCCATGAACGGAGACCCCCTCGACATAGGCCTCGGCCTTTGGGGAATCCATAAATAAAAAATATATAACGACAATTCGCGAATGGCGACAGAATTTCCATGCCCAGAGCAAATTCCCATCTAACTGTGATACATACGTTAATGAGATTTCGGGTATAAGGACACTTCGCGAACAAGGACACTTTTCGGATGCCCAGCCGAGTGTCGTTATACGCATAGTTGACTGTATCAGATTGTACAGGTCATAAAAAGGTTGATTTGTTACCAGTATATGAGGTAGCTTAGCTGCACTTACCTCTCCTGGCGGCTCCATTGTTTCCCAGGGATCTGCGCCGTTTCGACAGAGGAACTTGATCATCTTCTTCTCCACACCATTGCAGGCCACAAACAACGGTGTCCATCGCTGCAGACGGCAACAGCAGAGAGAAAACGACAAACTCAAATCGTCGACGAATATCAATGTTCTGCTTGCACTCTCCGCCCACAGCTTTAGGAGCTGCATCTGCGCCTTGGTCCTAGAGGGTGGTGGCATTCCTGCAGATGCGGAAAATCGGCCTTCAGCCGAGTCTCACGGGGAACCATGATTTCTTATTGTGCAGAATACAACATTGGGCTAGGTGCATGGGCAAGGCTTTCCTCACCTTGCATTCCGAGCGCAGGTTCACTTGGTCGGAGCCGAAATCGCGGACAATTTCGCTGGCTGAGCGTGGCGAACCGTAGTAGGCACACAGATGAATCATGCCACCACCGGTCAAGTTGACATGCTTGCCAGACTTCTGCACCGATGCACCGTAGACAACAACCAGTGCACCACAGCAAATAGAACAGATATGCCCAATAGGATCACAGTTCATACAACAAGGGTGGCGGATAGTCACTTGGCAGTCTATTTCTCAACCACATCAAGGTTTTCGCCACCAGATTGCCAACACTAAATCCTTTCAATCCCATACAGTGAAACCTGTGACTAACGACCACCCCTTGGGGCCAGAGAAAGCGGTCTTTAGTGGCAGGTGGTCTTAAGTTGGAGGTGTGCACCGCACAACCATATTATGAATGTGAGACTGTCTGTGCCTGGCGAAGTGGTCTGTAGTACCAGGCTGGTCGCAAGTCACGGCGGTCTTTACTTACAGGTTTTACTGTAGTACCAGGCTGGTCGCAAGTCCCGGTGGTCTTTAGTTACAGGTTGTACTGTAGTACCAGGCTGGTCGCTAGTCACGGTGGTCTTTAGTTACAGGTTTTACTGTAGTACCAGGCTGGTCGCTAGTCACGGTGGTCTTTAGTTACAGGTTTTACTGTAGTACCAGGCTGGTCGCTAGTCACGGCGGTCTTTACTTACAGGTTTTACTGTAGTACCAGGCTGGTCGCACGTCCAGGCGGTCTTTACTTACAGGTTTTACTGTACAGTTCGACCTCGCATAACCGCACACATCCGTTTTCCACAAATAGATCCGGATAACCGAACGCTGGTTATGTTGGATGCATCACGTATGCTGTAAATACGTAACCAGCTATTTTCTTCCGGATGGCGAGGGACCCAGATAAAAGAGGAGCGGAGAAGCGAGGTCTGACTGTATGTATCCTAGTCTATCCAGGTTGTGTAGTAGTAGTATTCATTCTTTTATTTATAATTAGGGCTCAAACGGTCACGGTTTTACCCCTGACGGTTAACTGCTCAGCTAACGGTCGGTTAACCGGTTATAACCTATAAGCCACGGCAATCCTGCGGACTCTTTTTTAACCGTATATTTGACTATACTCATTCAAAAAATGTACCCTATTCGGTACAACGCACACTTGTACATTCTCTTGCATGCTCATTCATACATACTCTCACACCAAGAGACCAGATATGACCGAGTTGACAGCGCAGAAATTGCGTACGCGTGCGACAGCCTGTGAAAGTGCACACTTTGCAACGACCTGATACTTGAAAAATTGACTGAAAAGTTACTGCGTAACCGTTATCTTTATCGGTTAACCGTTAATTCTTCGTAACCGGTCTGCAACCGGTTAATCGGACTAATCGTTTGAGCCCTATTTATAATGGAGAAACCAAAACAGGCAGATGCCTAATAACAATGGACCCACTGTGCAGGGTGGAGGAGGGGGGAGACATGGCTAATGGTAAATAGTGGCGGCGAAATAGAGTGTCATGCGTACCATCTCTGTTGAATGCCTTCAATAGTAACGAGCGGCAACATTGTGCCCCGTCCCGCCCGTACAGTGATCCCACACGATCTGCTGGTACGTACACACCTCCCATGCTAGTCGGCTCACAGCTAGTGAGGTATCCAGTCAAGGGGGGGGGATTTCTACTGTTGACTTATAGTCACTGTTGCAGATTGATGCATGTCAGGTATCTGTTGGTTGAATGTGGTGGTGGTGGTGGTGGTGAAAGGGAGAGCTCTGTGCCAGAACGTTGCAGCCTAGAGGGCGTGTGTGGGCAGGCGTGCATTTACCGCCATACTGCCAGGTGTGTGTTTACCACCATATTTACCATACGCACAGCTGCAGTGGTGTCTTCAACTTCATTCTCCCAGGTATCTGTTACCAGGATAAACCATGCCGTCGAACCTCTCTTGAACTTCCAAATGCTCTTTTACATGTACCCACTTGGCAGTATAAGAGGTTACTTCAGAGGGTCGACTTTGGGCTAATCCTTCTCGGCCATACAACTGCCCAACCAGTTAGAAAAAAACACTTGGAAGGTCAAGAGATCAAATCGAACGCATGTGATACATGTCATGTGTTCTTGACCTTGTAAAGTCAACTTCGCTAATAACGACTTCGGATATAACGACAATTCGCGAATAACGACAGAAGTTCCATGCCCAGAGCAAAGTCCCATCCAGCTGTAATACATATAATGGGACTTCGGGTATAACACTTCGCGAATAAGGACACTTGTCTGATGCCCCGCCGAGCGTTGTTATACGCGAAGTTGACTGCACTTCATGCAGGGCAATACCAACATCAGGTCCGGCGGAACCGGTCCGGTTGGTCAGGCCATGGCCGAACCAGCTTTTTGGTCACCAACGTGTGTTTACTGCTGATGAGATCATGCACATACCCTCCATATCATACACAAACTGTATGAAAGGCTAGGTTATGGCCGAACCAATCAAAACCTGCTTCCGCCGCCGGTCCTGAGCATGCATATCTGCCTCCACGGCTAGCGCAGTTCGGGCTGATATCGGCCAGTACATGCATTGCCTTTGTACTCGGTCGAGAACACATGCATACTGGTAGACGACGCTTACCAGGGTGTACAAGTTCGTGATGGTCAGCTTCAATCCCTCCGGCTTCGCAAGCTCCGGCGTCTCCATCAAGACGCCCAGCAGACCGCTGTCCGCCAGTGCGCGCCCTGCGAGGTGCTGCGCCTTCACGTCGCGGTTGCCATATACGAGCTTGGGCAGCTTATCCACCTCGGCGTCGGTCATGTCTCGAGACAGGTCAAATCTGACGCAGTAGGGGTCAGGGTCGTACCAGCCTTCGGACCCACCGTTTGTGTTGATGCTCGCCTGAATGCTACGCACAGTCAACAAAGAGAAGAGTGGTGTCGCATACATGTACATGGTGTTGGTCCTGTGTGATGATCGTTCAACCGTGAAAGTTGGAGTCAGGAATGAACACTGCCCGACTAACCCATTCCTACATAACCCGGGTATGAAGTACGAACAATAGAAGGGGGTTTGTCGACTGACAACCGCTCTATTCAGTTGCTATTCACTCTTGGCGCAGGCGCTGGATGAAAAATTATTTTATTGGAGATGTCGAAAAATTATGACGTTTCGGGCCAGTCACCCATCGTCAGAACAATTTACAAGGTGTGAGCCTGGCCTTTTATAACGAAAGCAAGCGAGAGCGTATGTACCGTATTATCTCTAATAAAAGCACAGTCTCCAATAATAGCACGTCTCCAATAATAGAACTCTTTGGGGCGGCATTCAAAAAATAAAGTGCTCAGTCTCCATTATAAGCACAATGTGTAAATTCATTATCTGTACCGGCGAAAAAACCCTGAAATGTGTGTGTCTGACGTGAATTTGGCATGGCAACATGCCTCTGAAATGAGGTTGAAATAATAATGGAACAGTCTCCAATAAAGGAACGTCTCCATTAATAGCATGGGGCGGAGGTACATTGAAAAAATAAAGGACCGTGCTTATATTAGAGATAATATGGTATGTCCATGTATAAAACAAACAAAACACACAATTCATTGCATTCCCAACTCATCACAACCACGCGCTCTTCAGCCGAACCATACAGGCACCAGCAAGGACACTTCCGTTGAGAGATAATATTGCTCCACGCCTCTAGACAGCTGTTTCGCTCCCTGTCGGAGCTCATCAGTAGAGGATGATAATGATGAGCTCCGACAGGGAGCGAAACAGCTGTCTAGAGGCGTGGAGCAATATTATCTCTCAACGGAAGTGTCCTTGCTGGTGTCTGTATGGTTCGGCTGAAGAGCGCGTGGTTGTGATGAGTTGGGAATGCAATGAATTGAAAATATGGCCGAAAGCTCTGTCGAAATATTTAGTTCCAAAACACACAATAGCCGTATGAAATTGAGTGTATGAATTTGCATGTACAACAGGCAAGAAGAAGTGCGCTGAAAGAGTGGGTATGCAAGCGTATGAACTACGAAGCCAATGAATTAACGACCTCATGTGTAGCGCCATGCTGAGAATAGGTTGAAACGCTTTGGAAACTGTTTTCGACAGTCGACCGAGTAAAGAAATTGGCAACTTCCTTGCTATGTGTGATACAATGGACCCATTGCACAATGACGTAATTTGTACCGCGAACACCCCCACACAGACACCTGAGCATGGTCGTCTGGGGTGCTCAGGAACAGTGCATTGCTGATCCCAGCGTACTCACATGCATTACTCACGTACAGTCAACTTCGCGTAAAACGACACTCGGCGGGGCATCAAAAAAGTGTCCTTATTCGCGAAGTGTCGTTATACCCGAAGTCTCGTTATATGTATTACAGTTGGAAGGGACTTTGCTCTGGGCATGGAAATGCTGTCGTTATTCGCGAATTGTCGTTATATCCGCAGTGGTTATTAGCGAAGTTGACTGTACTCCTTATTTCGAAATGCACAATGTGTCCGTTTACATCTTCCAAATTCATTTCACATCACATTCCCTTACCACCTCTCCATGTTGCTGCCACCTAGAGCAAACGAGAAGAGAGAGAGAGAGAGAGAGAGAGAGAGAGAAAGAGAGATAGAGAGAACATGGTTTTACTTACTCCATTTAGTCTCAACACTGACACAGTCTCTTTGATGCGAACACCTCTCTATCTACTGATTCACCAGAGTCTGAACATGGCTTCCCACACGCATGGCGCCCCCAAAGCCAGAAAATACGCACAAACGCGTGGTTTCTTTCACGCGTACACGCGCCAGTTGTGAACGCACCTTTAGGCTGAAGTGGAAGTGGAAGGATTTTTTCCAGCCATGCTGCGACCCCCAGTTAATCGGGAACTCGTGGCTTGGCACAAGGGAAGCATGCACACACACGTGATGATGGAGGCACTCAGGCTGGCTCTGAGCACTAGGTGCAGCTTCAGCTTCAGCTTCTACAAGTCATCAAAAACCTGCCGCGAGGACGAAAACTTTCTGACTTTCCGATCTCGAAACCGTGGTTGGTCTCAGCAGGTGGCTGCGACTGCGACTCTACATGGAAATCACCAGCTGAATCATGACGTCATGTTGAGTTGCACATTTCGGAGCCTGAACACATGCTCCAATTTCTTACCGTGGCTGTAGTTCAGTAACCCTACGATTTCTTGAACTAACTTCATAGAGCAGCTGGTGGGATTCAAATTACTCGATCACAACTTTCCAGGAGCATTATACCTAAAACAAATCCGAATTCGGTAAGGCATATTTGTACCTTGTATAATTGCTGAATTGAGCAGAATTGCATAATTCTCCATGCTCCGAATACCCGGATGCGTACTCAAGCAAAATCCATGGAATAGTGCGTAGTGCACGCAGTCATGAGCAGTAGTGCACGCTATTCTATGCCGGTATGGGAACTATTTTGTCTCGTTGATACCGCCCGCACTGCTGCCGGTACGCGCTAATTGTTTTTCACCAATGGAACAAAAAATGTAGCATTTTACGACAAGAGAAATTACGAAAGTTATAGATCGTCAGCAGCTTCTCACCTTCGCCACCACCGGAGCGGAGCGGTCTGATGCAATGGCACAGGGATTGGGGAAGTCCAACCAGCACCGCGATCACCACCCGCCAGCACTATTCGCCTTTGAAACTTATTTTCATGAAAAATAACGATTCACTCTCACCATTTCCGCAAGTGCTGCATCTACTTAGTACTTGTTCAGCTGTTGTTTGTTGCGTGGATCATTTCTGGTAAGTACGAGAAGCGACATGTCCACGTCACGTGACTGTTACTGCATTATACAGCTCAGACCACCGTCCGGTCGCGTCGGCATTTTACGACTCCCTGTAGATCTCCTACACGGCTGTGCTTCGAAGTCCTGTACGGGGGGGATGATGTACACGTCTCATGCTCAACTGAGCTGATAATTTTTATTATGCATACATGCAATCAAGGCAAGTTTAACCCCTATTGCCCAGTATTGGCCTAAATCATGTAAATGCTCATGCCCAATTCAGTCTACTTTACTAATACTCATCATGTGCAGACACTGAGACAGTTCCAGAAACACATCATCGGTTGTCCTGTATCCAGCCTTCACATAATGAATGGCATGCGGTGAAAGCTTGCCGATCTTCCAGCCTGGATGAACTTTGGCAGCTCTGCCTCATTGTTTCTTGTACAGTCATGTACATGAGAATACTCACAATCACTATACAAGAATGAAGTAGAAGACACCAGTGCAGCTGTACTTATGGTTGATAAATAATTATGGTGGTAAAGACACACCTGGCAATATGGCGGTAACACACACGCCTGCCCACACACGCTCTCTAAGCTGCAAAGTTCTGGCACAGAGCTCTCCTTCTCACCACCACCACCATCAGTTTGCGCCTGGCGCCTCGTCGATGCATGGTTGGCGGTATCCACCATATTTATCAACTAATATACAAGAGGATATGATAACATCTGCATAGCAAACCACGTGGGTGCACACCGCTCGCACACTGGCATACATGTACATTGTACAGACATAATGACTACTACTTTGAAGTATACCCTCATAGCGTAATGGTTACGGGTAGAGCGTCGCTGGCCATATGCAAAGGTCCCTGTTCTGTCCTGGTGATGGCAAGTCGGCAGGAAAAGCGCGTGAGCTCCCATGTAGGGAGCAACACACAATTCCCCATGTATCGCCAAAGTCACACCAACCCCTTCTTCAGACTTTTCCCTTTCAATTTCCTGAAGCTTGTGCATAAAAGTTAGAATGTACTTCGAAGTACTTCGAAGTATGTACAATAAGATTATCGTGCAAGAGAGAGAGAGAGAGACAGAGAGAGACAGAGAGAGTAATAAACTTCAGCTGACTGCATACTACTGCATGACGCATCAAATAGTTGTACGCAAAGAGTGAAAGGAGAATAAATAATACGGCTCAAACAAAGTATGGTGCTGCTGCCAGGTGCCAAAAAGGATCGGATGGGTTGAAGCCGGAAGAGAGAGAGAGAGAGAGAGAGAGAGAGAGAGAGAGAGAGAGAGAGAGATAGAGAGAGAGAGAGAGAGAGGGAGAGAAAAGAGAGAGAGAGAGAGAGAGAGAGAGAGAGAGAGAGAGAGAAAAGAGAGAGAGAGAGAGAGAGAGAGAGAGAGAGAGAGAGAAAAGAGAGAGAGAGAGAGAGAGAGAGAATGGAAGGGAGGCAGAGACAAATATAACACACGATGCTGAAATGAACACATCAGCCTTTGCATCAGTCCTGCACAGTGTCTGTTGCAATTAGTTCACCTGATTCCAGATGATAGCTACTCCCAAGGCATCACTTGAAAGCTAATAAGTTTGATCTCTAAGGACCAGGCCAACTCATGACCTAGCTACTCAACAGTCTTCCGACAGGGTTAATTCACTGTAGCACTGTGCTGCAGTAACTACATCTTCACGGAAGTTTGGATAATACCTGAACAACAACTCTCAAGTTCACCAAGCAGTTGCCGCGACAACAACCGGTACTAAATTTCTGAAGAAGAATGCACGTGTACACTGCCACATGTTATTAGTCAATATTATGCTGCTAGGAGGTGATGCTCCACAATCAGCTGTCTATGTTCTCAAGAAGCTCAAGTCAGTTCTGGATTGCCATCACCGACACCACTGGCACATCACTCGTGCCACGAAAGCCAGGGACGCGACTGGGTAAATAATTATTCATGCCCACAGCCGTACGTCACGTGTGTGCCTCACTGGGCGGTCCTGCTGCATGTTGCTCACTGCATGGGAAGCGGCACACCAGACAAACGACACATTCTCAATACGTCAATATCCACAGGCGAAGCTGTGGTGATGATAAGGATTCTCACGCGCGCCCCTGAAACTCGTTCACACAAACAAGGCTCACGAGTCGAAAAAACAACTCACGTCGAAATGTGGAGTTTAACGCCAAATTTGACGTGAAATTGCGCGTCACATCGGAAATAACGTGCATGTTAACCCTTTCTAATGCCAAGGCATCTTTAGGAGCACAAGCTGTTCTGGGTCTAGTGGCATATTCTGGCCAGCCGAGTAGCAGCCAGATCACTTGCCCCATTACACATGCACAAGAGCAGTAAGGAAGACTTCATTGATAGACCAATATCTATCTAGGAATGCGGAACTATTCGTCTGCTGAGAGGACGGCTACACCATAGCTCAGTGGTTAGAGCATCGCTGGCCTCAAGCGAAGGCCTTGGTTCGAGTCTTGGTGGCGACAGTAATTCTTTTCTTCAGACTTCTCCCCTTTCCTTTCCTTCAACTAGTGAGTATCAGGATGAGAGCAATGAACTCACCTGAAGAAGAAAGCAGCGGTCATCTCCGTTCTTCTGGCGATTTCCACTGCGCCCGAGAGCTTGGCAGCTTCTCTGGCAAGCTGTCCCTGCCGATTCTTGGTAGCACTCCCGTTGGCCGGTTCTGAAACTGCAAGAACTTGTGACTACGTAGCAGCTGAGTGGCTGTAGGTCGCTTGGCTGGATCCCTGAATTAAAAACAGCACAAAACAAATTCACAAAATATGGATTATTCACTTGTTTGAGGGAAAGACACAAACAGGAAAAAATCTGAAGAAAAATTGACTGTCACCACAAGGACTCGAACCAGGGACCCTCGCTTGCAGCCAGCGATGTTCTAACCACTGAGCTATGGTGTAGTCGTCATCCCAGCAGAGACCGTTCAACAAATGGCGGAGAGTGTTTGTGTCGAATGATGACACTACTGACTTAGTTCTGAGGCGCGGCCTACTTCGAAGTGCGTACTTCCACGCAAATGCACAGTGCACGGCCAGCCTGCATTTTGTACATGACTCAACTGTTGTGAAATACATTGTACATGCATGGTTGTACATGCATGTGGATATCAAGTCTCAGGTTTAGTCTATACAGTCAACTTCGCAAATCGTCGTGACGACTGCGGATATAACGACAATTATTCGCGAATAACGACAGAATTTCCATACCCAGAGCGAAGTCCCGTCTAATAGTAATACATATAAATAGACTTTGGGTATAAGGACACTTCGCGAATAAGGACAGTTTCTGACGCCCCGACGAGTTTCGTTATACGCAAAGTTGACTGTACTAAATACCGATGTGGGCCTGGTCGACGATGCACATTTTACCTGAAAATCGTGCCAAAATTTCCCCAGCAGCTGATACTCCACACAGTCACGTTGGACAAACAAATACAAACTGGAATGTGTGTATGTGTATGCATAATATGTGTGTGAGAAGGGGGGGGGGGGGGAGGGGGAGGGGGGCACAAAATGGCTTGTTCAACACATATACTTCCATTTACTCTTCTGAATACTCTTCACCATTATGTCGGAAGTAGGGAAGTAGGTCTCCGGACCTGGTGAGAAGGCAGAAATGCCTGTTCATTTTATGAAGTAAAATAAAATAAACAAACAAACACCGGAGGGCAGTCGGACCAATTGTTTTTCACACTCTCCACATTTGAAACTGTGTGCATGGAAATTGACAGATTTACCCTTACATGGTCATGCATCTGATGATGAAGTCCTTGACAACGGGGTGTAAATCCACAGTGCTCAGTTCATCGGGCAGGCAGTGTGAGCCAATACGATACATGGCAGCGTGCACTTCATAGCCAAACCATGGATGGTGACCTATGACCATCTCGAATACGGTGCAACCAACACTCCTGGGAAACGAGCGCACAGACAGGGCGAACAGCTTAGCAAGAATGTACGTTTCAACGCATGTATGTGAGTGTGTGTGAGGTGAGGGGGGAGGGGTGAGTGTGTGCACATGTATGTATGTTTGTGTGTGTGTGTGTGTGTGTGTGTGTGTGTGTGTGTGTGTGTGTGTGTGGTGTGTGTGGTGTGTGTGTGTGTGTGTAAGATGCGTGTGCGTGTGCATGTTCAACACAGATGTACACGTTTAACTCGTTCATAACTAGTTTCCATGTACCGTATTTTTCCGGTTGTAAGTCGACCTTTTACGACTTAAAATAGAAGGAGAAAGGATGGGGGTCGACTTACAACCGGGATTCGACTTATAACCGGGAACTATCAGAATCTTACAAAAAAATGACCTGCACTGCATGCACGAGTGCACTATGTGTACACATTTTTTCCAGTTTATTGGTCTTTTCAAGGATTGGGATGTTAAAACCTCCAAAAAGGAATGTTTACATGATTTGTTGATGTGTTAATAGCAGGGAGTGGTTAGTAATGCTTCTTTGGGTGAAAACTTTAAAACGCAGAATTGAGACCTCCGGATACGGGGGTCGACCTATAACCGGGGTCGACTAACAACCGGTAAAATACGGTAATTTCTTCTATTTTCATTACAGATGTACACATCTGCACATATAATCTCAAGCGAATAGGTTTGCTAGTCCACATACAGGACAAACAAATGATTTTCTTAGGCTGTCTCTTGCCTGGATTACACTCAAAGTTCAAATGGATAGAATGTTGTTGACAAACTGTTCCATATTAACGTACCATATATCCACAGGTTTGTCACAAACCCCGTGTCGGAACACTTCCGGTGCCATCCAGTATGGCGTGCCCTTCAACTGGTCAGTGAGATCTCTCTCCTGCAACACGTACACACAAACACAAACACCGACACACCGACACACACACACGCTTGCATACACACATACACCCACCGATACACAAACAAACACACGTGCATGCGCGTACACACACACATGCACACACACGCACGCACGCACGCACGCGCGCTCACGCACGCACGCACGCACACACACACACACACACACACACACACGCACGCTTGCATACACACATACACACACCAACACACAAACAAACACACACACACACACACACACACACATACACACACACACTTGTACACACACACACATGCACACACAAAATACACATATTTATACGTGAAAGTGTGCATGTGCGCATGCACCTGGACAAACACTTGTAATTGTTCAGAATTCTATTTGTACGATCATTGGGGAACTCATTTCGTCAAAGTGGACAATATCACCCTATTCACAGCCTGGGGGCTGTAGAGCTCATATTTCACAATGAAACCAACAACGGTATGAGGTCTTACATGGTACACCTTCATACAGCCAAGCCTGATGGCAACAGCCCCAACCACTGCCCACCGAAAGCATACTTATTGCGAAAAGGTTCACAATAATGCAGATCACTATAACACTGATACTCGTACCGACACTGATGAGTCCACAAAGGACGACACAGCATGCTGTCCGCGGATTGAGTAACACTGATAATGGGGTATGCAACCAATAGCAATGGATTCTTGTCTGGTGGACGCTGTGCTTACGTTCAAGTGACGTTTGGCAGCTCCGAAGTCGACCAGCTTGATGATTCCCTGTGTGGTTACCATGATGTTGGCACCCTTGATATCTCTGCAGCATATCATCAAGCACACCAGCCCAGAACATGGTTTAAATTGCAATCGGAGCACCTCGAAAACGTCAAAACACTGTTCTTCATAGAATTTTGATTCCAGAGCATAATTGCATAAACGTTCACAGCAAGTGTGAATTTTTTCACATTACTTTTTGGGAGCACGGGAAGTTCATCAATTAACTTGGTTGCAAGCATGCAAAAAAGTGTTCATCAATTCAAAACAAGCAGTCGACAAGACTGAACAAACTTTCCATTAAAATGATCATAATCGCATGATGTACATCTACAGTGGAACTCTCATGAGGCGTACCCTCATAGGCAACAGGAGAGTGCACGAAATATCCGAAGCACTTCTTATCACAAAATTTTCTATAATAGAGGAATGCATCTGTGCTCAGAACAATGTTCGTACCAAGCAAGAGTACGTCGTGTCAGAGTACTTGCACATACAGTGCTGCTAAATGAAATCCAGTCGCGTCGCTCGAGTACACGCCGGGCCGTTGCGCAGCCCTAGACCCGCGAACTCTGGGCTGCGAAATGGAGCAAGGCGCAAACGTGACTCATGCAACCGGATTTCATTGAGCCGCAGTGTTTCATGTGAGTTGCACTGCACTGTGATGAGAAAGATGTCTATTGAGTACCTACCGATGCACAACAGCCAATTCGTGTAGATATTCTACGGCGTACAGGATCTGCTGTGTATAAACACGGCATACCCGTATTGGTAGGATGCTATGTCTGAAAACATGGCAACGACACAAAAACCAGCAAATACACACAGAAGTAAGAAAGGGCCGCATGTGTGTGTGTGTGTGTGTGTGTGTGTGTGTGTGTGTGTGTGTGTGTTTATGTGTGTGGCGCGTGGGGGGGGGGGGGGTGCATGTGTGTGCAACACCATCCAGCCGCCTAAACCTGCGTCTCGAGATTTCAGGTGCCACTGCGGCCGGTATTTTCGCCGTCGCCAGGACCTCGTTCGCCACTCGAAGTTCTGTGCCCCGTGACTGAAACACTGTCGGTCCTCAGGACTGCCATCATCTGCGGATGGGCATTGTTGTATTGTATCGTATTGTGTGTGCGTGTGTATGTGTGTATGGGGGGGATTGGAAACGTGGATTTGAAATACGGTATCCTTGACCACTCTCTTTTGAATTACGATCACTGCCAGCCGTGCTCATGCTTGATGTTCACTTCAAGCAGCTGCTACCACAAACATGTCAACAGCAGCTTGTGCATTTGTACTAGTGGTGAAACGAATATACCGAATATTCGTTCGGTTTGTCACATTCGAACGAATATTTCTCATGGCGAATATTCGCTAAGCGGGTATGCAGAGTTTACCAGGCGACTTCAAACTTCCGTAACTTCGCGAATACTTGACCGAACCGCTTCATCGAAAGTCCCATCGGCATTAGAAAACTCTCAGCTGTCGTCTCGAAGCAACCCGGACCCGATACGAGGTCCTGGAATGGAGTTATGGCGGTCGAACGAAAAATCACGTCTTGAGCTGTTTTTTGAGCGTGTGAAATGCACTTCAGCTGGGGATTTTGTGAAAAATGACCTAGAAATGATGGAGAAATAATTATATGTGCCTTTGTTTGTCATGCCTAATAGTAATAATAGTGACAATATCCAATAAAATGACTGAGAGGAGGGTGTATGATGTCATCCGTGTTAACGAAAGAATATTCGTTCGTTCGTTCGTTAAGCCAAAGAATATTCGGCTACTGGGTTTTTTGATATTCGTTTCACCACTAATTAGTACACAACTTCGAGGAATACTCACTTGACAAAGTCGGCTATAGACCCGCCGGCAATGAGCTCCATGAATATGCGCACTTTGAAATTGTCACTGCTGCCTTCAACCAGCGCTGCTCCGATGTATCTACATGGTCACAATTTCAATTACAATTCAAACATCAAATAAAACCATTTGACTATAAACCGGATCAGTGATTTTCTTTAACTTGCTTCCCTGATTAAGACAATTGCCACTAATAGTACAGAAGGCAATGACATCCTGACATGATGCATACAGTCGGACCTCGCTTATCCGGTCCTCGTTTATCCGGATCCCTCGCCATCCGGAAGAAAATAGTTGGTTACAAATGTACAGCATATGCCATGCTTACATACAGTATGTGTGTTCGATTATCCGGTTCCCTCGCCTATCCGGATATTTTTGTGGAAAACGGATGTGTGCGGTTATGCGAGGTCTGACTGTAATACACACATGGGAGACAGCCTACGAAATTGTGCCAAGTGAGCATTCATTTTGAAATGAATGAGTGCCCTTTTGCAGCATGCCACATGATTGACAGTAGCAGCTCACTTGACGATGTTAACATGGTCCAGACTTCGCAGTGTGTTCACCTCCTCCTGAACTGTCATGAACTCCTAGTGTAGCCGAGAAATCAGAGAATAGGATGACAGGGAAAGTCAGAAAGAGAGAGAGAGAGAGAGAGAGAGAGAGAGAGAAACGGAGAGAAAAGTGGACAGACAGATGGCCGGACGGACGGACAGAAAGAGAAACAAACAAATAGGGACGGTCAAGAGATAGAAAGACAGAAAAGCAAGCGGGAACAAGTCAAGAAGAATACCAAACCACAAAAAGCAAGCATCCCTTGTATGCAAACACTGGCCACACATGTGGCCGCTTTCCTCTTTGCACAAAGGATACTTTATCAATGGCGTTTTACCCTGAATACGAGCCATCCATTATCAAGACATACCATTGCTGGCACGACTACCAGCCACTATCTTCTACTGTTGTCACAGAAGTTGCTACATTTCACAAACGGGTATTCATCCAAACAAATTGTGTATGTCAGAAAGCACAAAAGCATAAAGCTAAACCAACGTGTGTAGAAGAGCATTTTACAGTATAGATGCCGGTACCTCTTCTGCGGTGGTCTGGTCGCTGTTCAGCTCCATCTCCTTCAGTGCTATAGTCTGTCCATTGTTCAGCATACACATGTATACCTGCAATGGCCAGT